GTGTTTTTTGGGGATGCTAACAAGGTGTGGCAACTTTAAGCACTATTGAATTCCACACATTTTTATCATCCCCTCAAAAAACTTTAATCCTGTTAGTAGTCACTTCTCATTCTCCTCTCACCCCCAGGCAACCATTAATCTACTTTTTGTCTCTATAGATTTGCCTTTTTTGGACATTTTATGTAAATGGAATAATATAATATGTGGCTTTTTGTGAATGGTTTTCATTTTGCATAATATTTATGAGGTTTATCCATGTTATATAGCATGTATCAATGTTTCTTTTTGTTGCTGAATAATATTCCACTGCATGTATATATTGCATTTTGTTTATCTGTTCATCAGCTGATGAACATTTGGGGTTTTTGGTTCCTTCTGCTTTTATGCAGCATTTTTCAAAGACAAATAATTGGAAAATAGTGGCTTATGAATTCACTTCTTTTTCTGTAGGCTTAGACAGATTGTTCATTTAGCTTGACAAATGCTGCTTACAAAGAAAAACAGGCCAGTCTTAGTATAGGAATTCATGCGTTTTGTGCATCACATAAAGGAACCAGAGCAAGACATGGCTATTTTCAAGGCTTCATTTCTCTGTTCAGTCCATTCTTCCTATAGCTTTAGGTTTCTTGTGTTATCATTGAATTGAACATTTTTATTTCTTGGGATGCATCTGAAAAATACACTAGCTCAAGTTAAAACAAAAACCCATCGGCCAGCTGAAGCCGTGGGGGACAGCATGGCCTTTCATCAGCTTGGAATGATTCTCTCTTATGCTTTTCAACCTGACGGCTGCTGTCCAGCACACTTGATCATCTGTCTAGCTAAAGGGTGCTGAAAGAGAAGTTTAAAGATAAGGTTACTGGAAAAACTACATTTCCCCACTCTTTCTGCACTTAGCTTAATGGCAGTTCTAACGATGTCAAGAATCTTTATTTTGATTTTAGAGACTGTGCAGTATGAGATGTAGCTCACTGAACTTAAAACCTGATATTTGGCATTCACATCCCATCCTTGTTGGTTACTAGCTTTGAATTCTCCTGCAAATTTCTCATTTGTAAAAGGAGCAAAATAACACGTCTTAAAAAATTCTTTGAGGATTAAGTGATATAGTTTATTTTCTGTCACTTGGTAGATGCCTAGTAAGTGTAAGGCTTTCCCCCCCTCTACCTTGTATGGTGGTCATGCAGTTTGGATGTGCAGTTTGGATGAGACCATCATGTGAAAGCACCTAGCAGAAAGCCTGAAATTTAGAAGGTATTTAGCAATTGTTAGTTGAATTCGAACATAGATTTCCAAAGAATAGAACTCTTTTTGTAGATTTAGGGGTGCATGTTTGTGTGTGTGTGTGTGTGTGTGTGTGTGTGTGTTTGTGTGTGAGAGACTGAAACTGTATCAGTTAGCTTTTGGTGCATATCAAACCACCCTGAAGTTGAGTGGCTTAAATTAGCCATTTTATTTAACTTGATTCATGATTCTGTAGGTTGGCAATTAGGTTAAACTCAGGTAGGCAGGCAATTCTGGTTTTGGCTGGTGAGCTCTGCTCCGTGGTCAGCTGATAAAATAACAGCTGGGGATGGCTGATTTATTTCTTGAGACATTTGTTGACGTGGGCCTCTTCACATAGTATTTCACCATCTTGCTGGCTCAATCAGGTTTATTTACATTATAAATGCTGCTTACAAAGCATTTTGTAAAATGTAAAATTTTGTAAATTGTAAAATGTACAAGAAGTTTTTTTCTTTTTGAGACAGGGTCTTGCTCTTTTACCCAGACTGGAGGGCAGTTGTGTGATCATAGCTAACTGCAACCTTGACCTCCTGGGCTCAGGTGATCCTCCTACCTCACCCTCCCAAATATTTGAGACCACAGGTTCATGCCACCACACCTAGTTAATTTTTCTAAAAAAATCATTATTTGTAGAGACCAGGTCTTGCTTTATTGCCCAGGCTGGTCTTGAACTCCTGGGCTCAAGCAGTCCTCCCACCTTGGCCTCCAAAGTGCTGGGATTATAAACATGAGCCGCCATGCCAAGCATACAAAAGAATTTTTAAGTCTCTTCTTGCTATACATTTGCTATTGTCTCAATGACCAAAGCAAGTTAGATAGCCAGGTCCAGAGTCATCCTGAGAGGGGCATAAGGTAAGGACAAAGATACCAGGAGGAAATGTTGTGGTCATTTTAAAAAACAATTTATCTTAGTTACTAATTACGATAGGAATGCAAATCTGTTTACTGAGCATTATTATCAGTCTATAAAATCAGATTTAGAACAAGTGCTGCAATTTAATGAAAGCATTACTAAGAAAATATTGGTCACAATAGGAATGCTGTCTCCTTCATATAAACTCAGTATGTCAGTGAAGCATTCTCACACATAAGGAAATAACCATTATGGTGGAGGCATTTAATTTCTGGAATCACTAAAACAAGGATCACTAACTATTTTTTAATGTCTACTGTTTCTTGCCAGTTAAGGTGGCTTCCTGTATCAGTCAGTTTGATTTTTCACTTTAGTTCCATAAAATGTTATCATCTACATCTTTAGATAATATCTTTTTACAGTTTGAGTCACCTCTTCCATCTGTTAAAACATCAGCAACAAAAAATCCAAAGAATCGAAGATATTCTTGTCACTAAAGTATTTGTTGAGTCTTACACAATTTTTCAGCTTGGTCTTTGCTTTATGCCCCTACACATCTAGTTATAGCATGTTTTAGATTAGAGGCATCCAGTATCATAATCCTACTAGAGATAAGAACTTCTTCTTTTGAATAGTTACTAATAATTGAGCATAAATATGTTTTCATATGCTACTGCCAAGTCATAAAATCTTGGAATTTTCAAAGCTGCAGGGAACTTAAGATATAATCTGGTCCTGTGTCCTCTTTTTGCAGATTGGTAACCTGTGGTTGTACCAAGATCATATAATCAGAACCAGAATCTAAATATTTGAACTGCAGAATAGGGATTTACTTTCCAATTTTTTTTATTGTGGTAAAATATACATAACATAAAATTTAAGAAGAGGAATTTTTCCGTTCTTTTATCTCCAAAATCAACTTCAGCTTTTTGGCAATCTGATAAATGTAACATTTTAACTAATCATTTTGCTATAATTAAATTTCTAATACATATGTGCATTTTATTTGCAGCTTATATCTGAATATATGATTAGATAAAAAACTCTTTTTGCAAAATTCACTATAGTTTTTGGAACTTAGAATTCTAATAAATGTCAAGTGTAATCAGGTCTTTGGTATTGATATCAGAGGGTAAAAGCAAATACATTTTAGATAGACTTTCTTATTTGTGGATTTTCATTGTTGAAAGACACAAGGAACAGTTGGTGTTTTAACTCCAAAAATTAAAAATTTCGAAGAGGGTTGGTAAGAAAGAAGAACTAAAATATGAGGAAAGCAGATGTTCTCACTTTTTCATCTGAACAGCGATAGAAATTAGACAAATGATTATATTCTCGCTTAACAGACATTTCTTTGATTTTTATGACATGATTTAGAATTAGACCACAGGAATGTTATCTTTAGTGTTTCGTCATTCCTGGTTTAAAGATTTAATTTCTTAAGTCCACCTGTATTGCAACTGAAAGGAATTAATGAAGAACCATAGAAGTCTATTGTTTTATTGTTGGATATAATAATTTTTTTAAAAAAAGAATGATGTCCTTATGGTTTTTGTAACGATTTCATTGGAGAAAAAGTTTTAAATTACTTGTTACTTCTGTCCAGAAGTCGCCATTTTTATTGATGAACTTAATTTAGTCATCTCTCTGTGCATATATAAAGTTGAATGGATGAATAGATAAACAGACATGAAAGGTCAGAAGTAACGAGAAGAGAGAGATGGTTGCATGATATACGCAGCTTACTCTCAAATTTTAAGTGTATGTTTCCCAAGAAAGAAGATATCCTCTTTTGTTTGTATTTCCTAAAAAGGAGATGCTGTTTTTTGTTACCACAATAAAGTGGTCAAAGAGTGATTTTTTTTAGAGTGATTTTTTTATTTCTTGAGACAGTGTTTTATTCCATCTTCCAGGCTGGAGTGTAGTTGCATGATCGTGGCTCCCTGCAGCCTTGACCTCCCGGGCTCAAGCAATCCTCCCAGCCTCTCAAGTAACTGGGACTACAGGCATGTACCACTATGCCTGGCTGATTCTTTTTATTTTTAGTAGAGTCGAGGTCTCTGCCCAGGCTGGTCTCGAATTCCTGAGCTCAAAGGATCCTTCTCTTTTGGCCTCCCAAAGTGCTGGGATTGCAGGTGTGAGCCACTGTGCCCAGCATCAATGGTAATTTTTCTAAGAAGAGTTTTCCTGTCTCTCCCAAACCTCCTTCACTTTTGGATTATTGCTCTGATCTCTTACTGAGTGCATTCTTTTTGATGCTCAAAGTGTCCCAAAATTTACCAGTGAGAACCCTTCAAGGTGGCTTTTTCTTTTTTTCTCCACATGTAGATAGTATTTTTAAAGTTACGTAGTATTTCATAGAGTGGATGAATTGTGATTTGTTTTCTTTTTCATGTATATTTTTCTCATTATTCCAATTAGATAATAAGATTATCAAGGAAAGACACCCTGCTATATCATTCCCTCTTCCTACTTTAGTACCTGTGGAGAATATTGTGTATGATAGATGCTAAATAAATATTTTTTCTTGCTTCTCTTTTCATTCTAAATATTACAGGAGCTATTTGCTATAGGAGACCCCAAATGTATTATTTGCAGATTATCAGATTCATTGCATCACCCAAATCTTTCCATTTAGAAATTTCTGAATATATTTTAGGGGGATCTTAACTCCTCTGAAATTCCATGAGAATTTTTTGAGCAAGCAGTTATACATTGTTCTGTAGTTTCATTAGATTCTTGAAGGAGTCCTTTATCTAACAGAAATATCCACTGATCCAGAGAAGATAGATCTATTTATTAAACTTATCTAAAATATTACAGTGTTTTCTTTTCATTTTTCATTTTTCTTGGTTTTCAGGAAGGGATGAGACAATGCAGCCTGCCAAACCATCTTTTCTTGAATATTTTGAACAAAAAGAAAAGGAAAACCAGATCAACAGCTTTGGCAAGAGTGTACCTGGTCCACTGCAAAATTCTTCAGATTGGAAAGTACCACAGGATGGAGACTATGAGTTTGTAAGTAGTGTTGGAAGCAAATGGTTATGTCTTTAGGGGAATTTACTTGAAATATCACACATCCGATTATGTCATTTCACTGAAAGTGCCCAAGCATTTTCTTGTGCATTTTGAGTCTCCTAACCATCTCTGACTGTGTCTCCTGAACTGAAGGACAATATTTTGATTGGCATTTGAGCAGTTCTCTGGTCCCTGATTAGTGGCATCTTTTTTGCTTTCAAAATCCTTACTCACTTTTTCTTTTTGTCCAGTTTGAAATTGTTCATGGTAAGAGAAGTATTCAGTCATCAAATGAAATTGCAACTGTCTTTAATAGTTTATTTGAGATTTTGATTTTATATGTAAGAATTAGATTGGAGGGCAGTTGACACTGTTTTGTGGCATCCTTGTTGTTTTGCTAACTATTCTCCTAATTTTAGCCATGCTGAAAGGATTATTCTCAATTTTTTCATAGGGTGAATATATAATTATTCCAGTTTCATGTGAAAAACTGGATGTGTTTTCTTTTTTCTACTGTGGAACTTTTTCCCTCAACCATAGATGCTTATTAGTGTTCATAGAAATTTACGGAGTAGAGCAGTAAAAATTTGGGGAAAAAGTAAGCTAAGGAGTCTGCATTTTCTTCTTGAATATTACTAGAAAAGATTTTTCTCTTCAGGAACTTTTTACTTTTACATTCTTAAATTCTGAAGTTTGCTCTTCAGCGATCATAATTCTGTTGTTTATAAAAGAGCTTAGATTGAGCATTGGGCTTGAACTCTGGGAGGCCTTTCTAGTTCTGGCTTTCCACTATTCTACTGACTAGCCTAGAGGAAATGATGCCATTCTTCCATAACTTAATTTCTACTTTTCTAAAATGGCAAGAATGTCATAGTTTATACAACTAATGATAGAGATCCTTTGAGGACCAGAATAACTCATCTGAGGTAAATTAACTGATTAGTCACTGAACCCATGCTAGAACCCAGGTTCATTTGTTTTATTACCTGTTTGTTTATTTACTTACTTATCCAGTGGGGTTTTTTTTTTTTTTTTTTTTGAGTGTCATGTGTTTGACACTATTCTAGGGATGTAGTCATGAACAGAACAGCCAAAAACCTATCCCTCATGGTGGTTTCAAGGTTTCATTCTAGGTGAAGGAAGATAAGTATGTGGTATGTCAAATAGTGGTAAGTATTTTAAAAAATATAAAGCAAAAGAGAAGTTGCGGGGAGAGAGAGAGAGAGAGTGCGAGTGTGTGTGTAGCTTTTTAAAATAGAGTAGTCAAGGAAGTTCTCATTGGTAAGAAGATGAGTATGTTAACTATGTGAATATCCAGAGGAGAGGTTTTTTAGGCAGCAGGAATAACAGATGCAAAGATCCTGAGGCAGGGACTTAGTTGGTGTGTTTACAGAACAATGAAGAAACAGTATGTTTTGGAATGGCATCAATAGGATGTGCAGGAGGAAATGATGTCAGAGATATAATGGTGAGTGAGATAATGTAGGGCTTTTTGTGTAATAAAAAGGACTTTAGCTTTTACTCTGAGTGTAATGAAAGACCATTGGCAAGAGGTGACTTGATTCTGTTCATGTTTTAGAAGTACTATTCTACTTGTTATATTAATACATTATAGGAAAACTGTAGAGTTTCTGAACACAGGTGCAGTGTTTTTATTTACTATACAAAGATGACCAAATATGGGGCACATCTGCTACTATTTTCCTCTTCTAGGAGTTTGGCACCTGTCTTTTCCACTGATTCTGAAGTTCAGCTTCAGAATCCTTCTTAACACAGTGCACCAGGCTGCCATTGCTAATCATAGTAGACTTATGGAAATTGGAATTATTGTGTGTATATTTCTTGTTGCCTGTATGGTGGTTTTTAACATGTTTATAAGGACTGATTTCTCAGTTTAGCCAGTCTTCAGGCAAAGATATTTAACTACTGGGTACCAAATCACATCATTATTGTGATAGAATGCTTAAGAATCCTCAAATCTATAGTACTTCTAAGTCTAGTTTCCTTTTTTAAAAATGTTATGGAAGTTAGTGATTTCGAAAACCCAGTCACTTCAATCCTTTTTAAATTTAAAAAATCTTGTTTATGATAGTATTAGGGTACATGTAATATTTTAGTACCTGTTCATAATGTGTAGTGATAAAATCAGAGCAATTGGAATATCTATTACCTCAAACATTTATCTTTTCTTTGTGTTGGGAACATTGTAAATCTTCTCTTCAGTTGTTTTGAAGTATACAATAAATTATTAACTATACTTTTTCTACTGTCCTATTGAATACTAGAGCTTATTCCTTTACTCTGTGTATGTTTTTGTATCCCTTAATTAGCTTCTCTTCATCCCTCTTTGACTGCTTTTCCAGCCGCTAATAACTATCATTTTGTACTCTGTGTTCATAGGATCCACTTTTTTAGCTCCCACATGAGTGAGAACATCTGATATCTGTCTTTCTGTCTCTGGCTTATTTTAGCAGACATAACGATCTCCAGTAATATTCATGTTGCAATAAAAGAAGTGACAACATTTCTTTCTGTTTTCTGACTGGATAATATTCCATTGTGTATATACCACATCTTCTTTGTCCATTTATCCATTGATGGACACTTAGATTGATTGCATATCTTGGCTATTGTGAATAGTGTTGAAATAGTTACGAGAGTTTAGATATCTCATTGATATATTGATTTCCTTTCTTTTGGATGTATGCCAAGCAGTGAGATTGCCTGATCATTTGGTAGATCTATTTTAGTTTTTTGAGGAACCTCCATACTGTTTTTTATAATGGTTTTATTACTTTACATTCCCAACAATGGTATATGAACATTCCCCTTTCTCCACATCTTCACCAGCATTTATTATTTTTTCCTGTCTTACTGATAATAGCCATTCTAACTAGGGTGAGATGATCTCTCTCTCTCTCTCTCTCTCTCTCTCTCTTTTTAAAGAGACAGGGTCTTGCTTATTCTTCCATGCTGGAGTGCAATGGTGTGATTATAGCTCACTGCACCTTCAAACTCTTGGCCTCTAGCAATCCTCCCACCTCAACCAGTAGCTAGGACTACTGTTATACACCCCTTGCCTGGCTAATTTTTAATTTTTTTCTAAAGATGGCAGCTGGAAATGTTGCCCCAGCTCATCTGAAACTCCTGGACTCAAGTGATCCTTCTGCCTGGGCTTTCCAGAGTGCCAGGATTACAGATACGAGCCACTGTAACTGGCTCTTTCATTGTGGTTTCATTTTGCATTTTCCTAATGATTAATGATGTTGAGCATTTTTTCATATACCTGTTGCGGATTTGTATGTCTTCTTTTGAGAAATGTCTGTTCAGGCCTTTTGCCCAACTTTAATTCTAATCATTATTCTTGGATCAGTAATTTCAACATGTAAAGAATTCATTTCTCTTTGCCACAGTTTTCTCATACTAAGATCATTGGCAGAAAACTTGTTTTGGTGGGCAAGCTGCTTATACAGAGGAGCTTTAGTACGTCTTTAGAGAGAGTACTTTTTATTTTGGAAGCAGGGTATTTGAAAGGTTCTGATATTTGGTACATTTGATTAAGTTAAAAAGGAAGAGTGTACCAATAAACTGCAATAGGGGAAAGGCGAGAGAGAGACTAGAAATAGAAAATGGTGGCATGATCATAGATTATTTATAATTTTATATCATTAAATTTGAAAACTTAGATAAATAGATGTTTAAACATTATGCCATATTTACTTCCCATGTGGAAGTATAAATGCATAAAAATATGCAAGATATTTTTGAAGAAGAAGACCAAGGTTGATCTGATTCTTCTAGAGATCAAAAACATATCACAAAACCACAATAATGAAAGCATTGTGATATTGGCATAAAAATAGAACATAGGCCAGGTGTGGTGTGGTTCACACCTCCAATTCCAGCACTTTGGGAGGCTGAAGGTGGGAGGATCACTTGAGCCCAGGAATTTGAGACCAGCTTAAGTATTGTAGTGAGATCTTGGTCTCTTAAAAAAAAAAAAAAAAAAAAAATTTAGCTGGGCTTAGTGGTACATGGCTATAATCCCAGCTACTTGAGAGGCTGAGGTGGGAGTATCTCTTGAGCCCAGGAGTTCAAGGCTGCAGTGAGCTAGGATTGCACCACTGCATTCTACCCTGAGTGACAGAGTGAGACCCTATGTCTTAAAAAAAAAAAATCACTGGGCATGGTGGCTCATGCCTGTAATCCCAGCATTTTGGGAGGCTGAGGTGGGTATATCACCTGAGATCGGGAGTTCTAGACCAGCCTGACCAACATGGCAAAGCCTCGTCTTTAAAAAAAAAAAAAAAATCAATGTTACAGAGATTGAGAACATACATATGTATGTATGTATGTGTGTGTGTATATATTATATACATTTAAAAATACATATATACCTTTGTTGGATACACAGTTTGCGTTACATATGAGTGTATTATATAATAATGATAAAATACAAAATGCAAACTGTAAAATTTGTGTAAATTTAAAAAAACATAAATCATGCTACCATTTCTGTATAATTTGCACACAGAACTGCGTAGATAGCTGTTTTTATACACAGAGAGAATATATTACTATATTAATATATTACCTGCTTAACTTAAAATAAATCAATAGAGTGGGTTACGTTTTTAAACTTTCTATTGAGTTTTTTTCCTGGTTTTAGTCTAAATAAAGTTAACCCGGACTTATACAGATTAAGAGAACCATAATACTTTTCAGTCAGTTGTCAGCTTTGCAAGTGTTGACCATTAGCTTTCAGGATCCTTTGGTTTTGGAATAAATTTCCTATCTATTCAAATAAAGTTGCTTTCAGATTTCTTATGACTTCCGTAAAAAGAGTTGATAGTAACTGGCCCTCACATATTAATTCAATCTGTATTTATTGAGATTCTCTGTGTATACTATTATGAATAGATAAGACTGCAAGATCTTTTACAGCCTTCACTTTATCTTACTCATCTTTCTGTTCCTAACACCTACCAATTGCCTGACTT